ACTCCTCCCTGGACAGACAAGGCCGCCGCCGCCGACGACGACGACGGCGGCGGCGGCGGCGGCGGCGGCGACGGCGGCAACGACCCGGGACGGCAACGAGCACCTCAGTGAGCCGGGCTTTAGCGCCGGAGCTACGAAAGGGGTGACAGGAGTGGTTTCGGTTCCAAACCCGGATCCGGATTCCAGTCGCAACCCACATCCAGATCATCCGGATCCTCCAGAGAGCTGTCGATATTCCTTAGATATTGACGCCATGCGCGCTGCTGCTGCACGGTTTGTCGGAGAACACGACTTCCGGAACTTCTGCAAACCCGACGTGGCGACGGTGGGTGACAGTGCGGGGGGGGGGGGGAAATGGGGGAGTGAGGGGGGGGGGAGATGGTGTTGTGTATGTGGTGGGAGGGAAGAGCTGAACGGGGCGCAAACCCGGGTCCAGGCCAGAAGAGGGTGCGTGAGACGCGGGGAGGAGACTCTGGGTCTCAGGCCACCCGGTCGGGACGACAACAAGTACGACATCAGGCCGGTACGACATAAACACACACGCCTACTCGCAAAGTGAGCCCTACCTCTGCCAGCGGAGTGGCATCCTCGCCGCACGTCCTGTTCGCGGTTCAGTGTTTTTTTTCCCGAAATACACGCGCACACACACATACACACATACACACATGCACACACACCTTCCCCCTCCCCGTCTAGGTGCGGAGCTTCCGTCGCCGCATCCTGTCGTTTACCCTGGACCCGGTGCCCACCTCCTCCTCTGACGGGGCCCACCGCGTGTTTGCAATAACGGTGCGGGGAACCGCCTTCCTGTGGCACCAGGTCGGGTCAGGGGGGGGTTCGGGTCGGGTCGGGGGGGGAGAGGGGGGGGGAGAAGGGTTTTGGCGGTTTGGGGGCGTGTGCAGAGCGGCAACAGCCGTGTGCGTGTGTGTATGTGTATGTGTTTTGCCTGCATGCCCGGCTGATCCCGGGAACACCCGCCCTTATTGCCCGCTTCCCATCAACCCAGATTCCACCCGCGTCTCTCTCTCTCTCTCTCTATGTGCAAGCACAAACATACGCACACATACATACATACAAACACAGACACGATCTCCGTCGACCGAGTCCCTCTGACCCACACCCCCCGCCGACCACCTTGCATCTGATTGATCGTTCATGGTTCCTAACCCCCCACGCTGCCCCCCCCCGACTCATCTCTTCCCCCGGCCCCCACACCGCCGCCACCACTATTTCCACCACTACCGCCCCGCCAGGTTCGGTGTATGGCCGCCGTGCTGTTGATGGTGGGGCGGGGTCAGGAGCGGCCTGAAGTGGTTTCGGAGCTTCTGGATGTAGAGGCCCACCCCCGTAAGCCCCAGTACTCCATGGCGCCCGAGGTGGGGGTGCGGGGGTTAGGAGGTGGGGAGAGGGGGTTAGGAGGTGGGGAGAGGGGGTTAGGAGGTGGGGAGAGGGGGTTAGGAGGTGGGGGTGCGGGGGTTAGGAGGTGGGGAGAGGGGGTTAGGGGCCTTGTGTGATATGGGGTTGCGGGGCTGAGGGCCCTGCCACCCCACCGCCTAGTGGGGTGAGGTGCGAGGAGGTGCGGGTCCGGGGGGAGGCGCTGTGAACCGCATGCAACACGAAACAGCTCTGCCAACCAAGCCAGCCACACCACACATACACATACACACACACACCCTGCTTCCACGGTTTTCCTTTTTCTTAACCTTCCCCCAGGTCCGTCCCTCTCCCTTCCACCACACATGCATACACACACACGCACCCCCTGTGCCGCCCTCCCCCTCGCGCTCGCTTTCCTCCCCCTTCCCCGCGCACCCTCCCTCCCCGTAGGAGCCCCTGCTGCTGTACGCGTGCGGCTTCAGCGACCTCCGCTTCCGTCGCAGTGGCGCCGCCGTGGGGTGTGTGCTGGGTGACGTGGGGGCCCTGCTGCACCGCCACCTCATCGGGGCCGCACTCACTGCTGCGTGCCATGATAGACTGACCCTGGATACCCGGTATGTATGTATGTATGTATGTTTACGGAGGGAGAGAGGGAGGGAGGGAGGGAGGAGGGAGATAACCGAAGGGGACCAACCCTTTGGTGTTGGTGGGCTGTGGGCCATCCGGGGGCGTGTATCTCTGATCTATATAGCTGCTTCTGGATTCGAGGACACACACCCACACACCCACACACCCATACTCATTCACTCGCTCGCGTGTATGTGTCTCTGCCGCCGGCCTGACAGTCTCAGTCGCCGGATCCCGCTCACCACCGCGATGTGTTGTGGTGCAGGTGCACCGGCGGGGAGGCCAGTACGGCGGCCGGCTGCGTCTCCCCCTCCCCCTCCCCTTCCCTCCCAGGTCCCCCCCACATCCCCCTGATGAGGCGGCAGACGGAGCCATCCATTGAGGATCGCATGGCGAGGTGGGCGGGAGGGAGGGGGAGGGGGATGGGATGGGGGGAGGGGTGGCGGGTAGGGGTGGAGGGTAGGGGAGAGGGAATGAAAGAGGGTGGGTATTAGGGCTGTTTGGGGATAGCGGGAAGCTGGGGATCTAATAGTACCTACATACATTACGTACATACATACAGGGCCCGCTGTGGTGGGGGCCTGCCAAGCTAAGGGCTAGCGGGCCAGCCAGCTGGGGGCGTGTACGGCCCTTGTTGTGTCCCGGTTAATTGGGGTTGAGGGGATGAATCCTGGGGAATCGGGGGTCGGGGCGGGGAGATGAGAGCTGTGTGTTTGTATGTGTGTCCCATACCTGACCAGCCCAATCCTCACCACAGAGGGCGCCGTACTCTGCTCTAACCTGCCTGTGTGTTTGTGTGTCTGTATCTCGGCATGTGTGCCGTACGATTCTCTGGCAGGCGGGGGATACCCTGGCCTCCTGAGCCGCGCAGGGCTGAGGACGGCCGCATGGAGGAGGAGGAGGAGGAGGACCCGATGGTGGAGTGACCCGACCTGACCCTCCCCACCTCACCCGATTTCGGTTCGACCCATGGGTCACCTGCGGCACCACCTGCTGGTTTCAGACCACGCCAATTTCTGCAAAGTCAGCGATTTGTTCGGGTTCAGCACCCACCATCATCACCGGCAGGAGGAGGTGATGCATAGAGATGCAGCGTGGGGGTTTCGGGCGCGGCTTAACCAGGTGACCAGCACTGGCACGGCGCTGGAGAAGACTTTGGGCATCGTATCAAGGCACAAAGATTAACATCGTATATGTCTTATATGGGAGGGTCGCGTGTGTTTCGGTGGCGCTCGGGCCTGTGAGGAGAGGTGAACGTTTTGAGAGCGCTCGTGTTCCTTTTGTGTAACTATTTTGCTTTATTACAGTGTTATATTGGTCTGCGGTATGTACTTGGTATTGATATAGCAGAATATTTGTGTTGGGCGGGTTGGATGGAGAAAGGCGGGGCCTGGATTGCAACTGTCAACTGCAGCAGCGTAGCTGCGCGTTGTACGGCGTGCAGGCCGCACAAAACGGCGTTAACAACGGCGTCAATTCTTTTCTTGGTAGCATTCAGGCTTGTAACCATGTCTGAGGAAGCTAAAGTTGAGGCTAAGGAGGAAGTGCAGGAACAAGGACCTGTTGAACCTCTTGGAGAAGCCGCACCGGAAACCGCTGAAATGAAAACCGAGGACGCTGTGCCGATTTCGGATGATGCGCATGCCGTCGAGGATGCTGAAGACGGTGAGCATGAAGGTGTCGATGAAGGAGAAGAAGATGATGAAGCAGGCGTGGACGAGGAGGCGGAACCTGGCGGCGACGATGCGGCGGCAACGACAGAGGAGCAAACAAATGGGGCAGGCAAGAGGAGGAAGGGACACGTTGGTCCATTAACTCTCGGCTATAGGTCGTTCGAAACCGGCAAGGCGTGCGCGGACTACCTTAAAGCACTTCTATCGACATCGCCGTTGGACACCGACATGAACGAGGTGCGTATCTATATTGGTGAAACGCTGCTGATATTCACAATGAAGTTGGTGTTAATATGAATATTGATTTGCCTTAGTAACAACTCTTTGACAAGGCAACATTCCATGCCCCGCTCCTGTGGTGCCCACCTCCCTTGCCTTTGCAGTATGAATACCGGGTACTTTTGGATCTCATTCAAAAGGGACACCCTTCAGCTGCATCAAAGGTATGCAGCTACCCGACGCCCCCGTCTCTTACGGCACCGAGGGCGTGGGAACCTAGCCGAGCAGCTATTGCACTTGCTTCCTGCACAAATTCGTGTAGAAAGGATTCATTTCCAAACCTGTTCCAATCCTCGGAACCCTCTCGCCTAGTCAAACATAGCGGTGCTGTCCGTGCCATTACCATGGCGGTCAAAGAATTGACATGTGGGTCCCCTCGCTGCTACCAATCGCCCTTCCGAGGAGTCACTTGTCTCCCTCTCCCCCGCTCCAGGACACATCTCCACAGAATTTTAGTGCTAAACTCCGCTTTGCTCTTAAATGCTCTCGGCCCGCCATTTGTCGCTGCGCTCTGTCTGGTCCCTAACCCGGCATAACGGGAACTTCGCCTGCCCCCCTGTGTCCCCCACCTGCCCATCCCAATGCACAGATCGGCTGCGGCCTACGCGCCTTCCAGGTCCGGCACTACAACGCGGATGGTGAAGCTCGCGCGTTCTTCGCCATTCGTAAGGACGGCACCCGGGAGGACTTCAGCTACGTCAAGTGCCTAGGGCAACTGTACCCCGGTAGGGAAGGGGGGGATTGGAAACACGTGTACGGGCACATGTACGGACACGTGTACGGACATGGTTTGAAAGGATTTGGGTTGTTGTGGAAGTTGGGGTTTTGTTGGGAACGCGATTTGGGAGAGGAAAGGAGAGGAGGCGGCAAGCGGTGCGAGGTCCCCATAAGCCCAAGAAACAGGCATATTCCCCCGTCGAAGGGGCCGTGAGCTATCCACACTACGGGGTGGATCAGCGCACAACCGCAATGGCCACAACGTCCAGCGCCACATCGCACTGACCGCTACACAGCGTCGTCTCGTACCACTCACCCTACTCGCTTGCTCCGCTGAAGTGCTCCCTCCGCACTGTTGTCGTTATTGATGTCGTTATTGTTGTTGTTGTCGTAGGCGAGATAACGCTTCAGCCCGCGAAGCGCTTCAGGGAGTTCCCCGAGGTGGGTAAGGGACGCGGCGGCTGGCGCGACGGGAGAGGCGGGAGAGGGAGAGGGCGGGGCGGCCGTTTCGGCCGGGGCAGCCCGGGCCGGGGCCGGGGCCGGGGCGGCGGTCGGCACTGAGCTGAAGTGCGAGTGGGCTGGGCGCGGCGGCTCGCAGCCTATGGAGTATACGCCACCTGCTGGGGACAGTTCCTGCCCCGCTTCTCCTTCTTCTTCTTCTTCTTCTTCTTCTTGTCCGGATTTATCACTCGGGGTAGCTGGTCGTCCGGGTAGCTGCACCGTTTTGTCATCCGGGTAGCTGCAGCGGTAACCCGCTTTCTCGGGTGGATGAGGTGTTGCGATGGTTTTGAAATGATGTTTGCGGGGTGGCCTCCCCGGGGTTTCGGTCCGTATGATTTGGGGCGAGGGGGGCAGGAGGAGGTATTCCTAAGCGAGGAGCCCCTTGGGGGGGTCGGCGGACAGGTAGCAGGTCAGGTAGGTGAGAGGTAGCACGACCGCACGTACCTGGAGATGAATGCCGGGCAGCTGCGTCGCTTGATGGAAAGCTAAGGGGTTCTTTCCGTGTGTTGCATCGGTCGTCGGTTCGTGTGTTTGTGTATGGTTTGCGTTTTTGCTGCCCGGACCCTTAGTGCAGTCCGATTGGTGCTTTCGCCCCAGATTAACAGTCCAACATGTTTTGCATTACGTTGCTTTGGTTGGTTGAAGGCTGGACTACATTTGCTGCTTGCTAGGGCCGTTGATGTAGGACAGTCTGTGCTTAGGGATGCGTACAAGACGGAGGGTACGCGGCAGCTGGGGGAGGTTGCAAGAGGTGGGAGATGGTCTATTGGTTGTTCCCCGCGAAGGGAGGCTGAAGGCCTTTGCTGTCCTTTCGACTTTTCCTCGTCCTTATTGCCGTGATGCTTGTGAATATATTGATGAACCTTGTTATCTGAAGCTGGGAATGTGTAAGGGCTGAGTCCGGCGGGGTTCGATTAGGGGTTTAAGAGTTGTAGGTACGTGCGCACAATGCTCTCCGGCAGGATGTGCTTACTGTGTCCACTCCTAACCGCCAACGGCCACCGCAACTACAGATTTTGAATGCGGGCTCCCGGCGGGATCGAGGTCCTCTTGTACTCTTGTCATGTTCAATATCAATATAGAATGGACCGACATAAAAGCAGGGGAGGCAAAGACATGAAACCACGTGCGATTGGCGAACTGGATAAGCCCGTGTCATAAGTGTGATAAGGACGTGTCCGTTAGTTGATTACCTGCCGCTGCTGCTCCGCAGCTGCTAAATGACATTGCAGTGGGATCCCGGACATGTCACCGGTGGTAGTGCTTCCCACGCACAACCAAACCTTCGATTGTTTGCATTTTTGCACTGTAACCCTGTGCGAAAGGTTTCCTTTCCTTAAAAATTCCATGGTTTGTTTTTTGTTGCAGAAGTTAGGCGTATATAATCCACGTTTCCATTTTTCATAATCTTTTCAGGGCGTCGCACTTAACCAGCTGTCCCTTTCCGTCCCGTCGGGAAAGGTCTCCGCCGCACTATACGAAAGGAGGAAAGGCCCTGAAACTTATCAAGGCGGCAAGTTGTGTGTGTGTTTGTGTGTGTCTCACATGGTTGGGGGTGCGTGACCCCATACCTGTAAAACTACCCATACGAGCCGAAAGCCCAAGGGAAAGTTGTATTTGCTTGCTCCAGCGGTTGGGCAATAAGCCATCCGGTTCCCCGGCTGCTCTCGGCGCTCCTCCTCACGGCTACCCCCCGTTACGTCACACCGCTGTACGGCACCGAATATGAGTACCGCCGTGTGTATGCGTATGTGCATGGCAGGCTGACAAGGCTGGCCTCGGAATGGATAGGTGCTGCAGTGCAGTGCAGTGCCGTACGACCTAGATAGCTGGTTGTTAGGGGTTGAGAACCTGCCCTAGCATGAGCCCCAACATCATCATTTGGTTCGCTGGGGAACCGGGATTGTTATTCCCTGATCGACCTTCTTGCAACGTTTGGCAACCGACGCCACTGCGGCCACTGCAACGGGGGGCTATATCGGGCTCCGGGGCTATATCTCATACATGGCCTAGCTAGGCAGAGAGACAACTCCCTGCTTTCCCCTTATGCCGTACACTCGTACGGTACGAAACCCGACCTGAATCCGACAGTTGCATGTGGCTTTAGCCACATGCATTTCATATACTATATATATATCCATTATATGCCGACATATGTTTGTATGTTTGTATGTATGCATGCATTAAATACGTACCCATGACGCATTGGTGGCACCAAGGAATGGACGAACGCTCAAGCAGGTGCACTACGTACGGCGACGGTGCTGTACGGGAAAACTGTTTTAATGTGGTTTGGGGTTGGGGTCGCAAGCGTGTGTAGGAGTCGATAAGATCCGTCAGCGTTAACGTACACTTGATTAGATGTGTGGTTGAACAAGATTACCTGCAGGAAAGTCGGCCAAACCAATCCGTCCTTCAGAGGCCGCACCCGTACCTCCGCACGCTGTCCTAACTCTTTCGTGCAACATTCACGACATTACGTCTTCTTGTGCCGTACAAAGCAACTGTCTGAAAGCATCTTTTGCTTTGCTTTCCGCCCCACGTCAAGAGCGGTCCCTAGTGGACAAATCGTGACACGCGCACATGTGCATGTGTGCACGCGAGCGCATATGCAGGCGCCCACATTAAAAAGCCATACACGCAAACCCCCACACGCCCCCTCGCCTCTCCCTCCTGCCAAACTGTCAGCACCATTCGCATACTAGCCCAACGTGCCGAAAGCACCGGATAGTCCCCCGCAAAACACACAACCCGACACTGTATGGCTCACAGTTGCCGTACTACCAGCCGAGCTGCCAGCTCCCGGGGTAACATGGCCGCCGTGGTGGAGTCCGTGGCCACCTACGGGTCAGGATATGCGGGAGGGAGGGAGGGAGGGAAGCAGCAGTGGAGACAGTGGACGGGGCACGGGGCTCAGCGCGGCGCTCTGCATTGCTCCACCTGCTGCTTGTTGTTGTAATTCATGTGTTTGAACTTTGCCCAATGTCAGGCTCGCAATGCGTGCAACTCAATGGTGGTGGCTATTTGGTGCATTCGGCCATCCGGTGCGACGTGTGTTTTGCACGGCACTCAGCTAGCCTGAGACACGCACGCGCGCACGCAGAACACATGGTGCTGTTGGTGCGCTGTGATCAAATTGATGTGCTGCGCTGCGCTTCGTAAAGTGTACAGCTTAGAATGTAAAGAGGTCACCAGAGTGCCGCGCAATGTAGAGCTACACTTTGCTGGGTGGTTGCGGTGCGCTGTGGCCACATTGCCACTTTGGGGTGTATGTAGACCAAGGCCATCCATCACAAGGCCATACGGACATCAGGGGACGATTTTGCCGTTTATTGGTGACCTGGTCATCAATTGACAAGTGACAGCGAGTCCCGTTGATGTTGTTAACAGCGCTGATATTAACTGGCAAGGTGTGGGTTGGGGTTGGGAAGGGGGACTGGGTCCCACGCGGCCTTTTAGGGTTTTGGAGTCCAAGCACACGTCAGGCCACGTCGCATACATCACACACCACCAATTCATATGTCGATCTTTCTCACAATTGTTTTGATCTCTTAAAAACCATCTACGTATGCATGCATGTGTGTATGTATGTCACATATGTATATTTTGGTGGTATCCATCACTACCGCATCTATCCAAGGGCCAATGGCGTACCTGCCCCGCCTTAGCGATCGCAGCAGCTTTGTGCAGCACCGTCCACGCACGGCCTCGATAGGTCAGCTGCCCTCCCAGGCTGCCAGCTGCCAGGCAGCCCCGCAACTTCCCCCACGCCACCGCCCCACTCGCGCGCAGCCCTCGACACACCACCACCGCCGCCTGCTGCTGCTGCTGCCGCTGCTGATGGTGCTGCCGCCGGGATCCGTCGCCGGCCCTCATCCAGTCAAACACCACCTCCTCGGCCAGGGGATGTTCTAGAAGCTCAGGAGGCCTGCGTGGGCTCGGACACACACCGCACAAGGTGTTCGGGGCCATCTGTGGAGAGGACCATTCAGCTGAAAATGCATCAATGCAGGATGCAGGTGTGGAGGCCGGGCTGGACGATTGAGGCAGCCTCAGCCAACTGCCGTCTTCGGGGCGTTGTGCAGTGTGCGTAAGTCTGTATGTAATGTGCGAATATGTAACGCTTATTGCCGTCACGTCGTTGTCTTGTGCAGTTCCTACCTACTACGCCCCGCCAAAAGTGCTAGGTGGAGCAGCCGCTTACCAGTCCAGTTCCCGCAGCCGTTGCAGAGCGGCCAATAGCCACCTCACCGCCGCGTCCGGGGGACCCTCCAGCACCACCGTCATGAGGCCCGCGCGGCTGGCTGGTCCCGAGCCGCCGCCGACGGATACGCGGCGCTCAGACGTACCGGTGCCGCTGCCGCCGCCGACAACGACGCCACGCGAGCCAGTATAACCGCCGCCGCCGCGGCCGCTGCCGCCGGCGTCCTGGCGCGGAATGACGCCGGGCATCGAGGTACGGCGCTCCCCTCGAGGCTTCACGCATCCGTCAGGACGCATCGTGCTGCAGGCCGTGTCCTCTGAAAGTACGGCAGTCGGTGCTGCTGTTGCTGCTTCGGCGGCCGCGTCGGCGATGATGGTGCCGGCGGCGGCAGCGGCGTTGAGCGGCGCGACGGTGGGGGTGCCGGACTCCGAGAAGTACCCCCGCCGCCGCTGGCCTGGCCGTACAGGGAGCAAGCAATCATGTAACCGCCCCCCGTCGGACTCCAAAGGCGGATGCGTCTCTCGCAGCGCCGACAGCTGCGGTGGCTGCGATGACGGCGGCAGCACCAGCTTACACATCAGCGGGCCGCTACCGCCAGCAGTGGGTCCAGCGGCCCCTGCCCCACTTGCCGCCCATGCCGATGCTGACGAGCACTGACCCCTAAACGACGGGTGCGGCGGGAGGTAGGATGAAGTAACTGGAGTTGTGCAGACTGCGGCTACAGCACCGCCGCTACTGCGGAAGCCGTTGCCGCCGCCGCCGCTGGGGCCGCCGCCGCCGCCGCCGCCGCTGGGGCCGCCGCCGCCGCTGGGGCCGCCGCCACCGCTGGGGCCGCCGCCGCCGCTGGCCCCGCCGCCGCCGCCACCGCTGAGGCCGCTGGGGCTGCACCTGTATCCGCAACCACCGGCGCCGGCGCCGGTGAACTCAAGCGCACCCTCCGCTACGTATGCGCGCAATCCGCCGCCGCTACCGCCGCCGCCGCTGCCGCCGTCATTGCTGTTCGATGCCGCCGTCACCACCCGCCGAAGCTCCTCCAGGAGGGCCTCCTGCAGCAGCTTCAACGCCCGTACAGTGACATCAGCATCCCACGCCATCAGTACGGCAGCGCCGACAACAGACAGCCGCGCCGTCGTGGCGTAACCCATCACAGGAGCGTGCAGTACGCCCGCCAGCGGCCGTAGCACCATGGCTTTGCGCAGTAGCTGGCGGCGGCGCAGCTGCAGCACGAGGCGACCTGCTAGGTGGCGGTTGATGACCTGTGGTGATACAAATAAGATCGTCGTGGGATGGCGGGAAAACAACACAACGATAATGGCGACGATGAGAGGTGTTTGGGGAGCCCTTCAGAGCCCGTCAGAGCCCGTCGATCGGAGCTCGGTTACCGAGGCAGGTGGCCGGGAGCACAATCAATTGTACGGACCGGCACATGCGACCGACGATATGTTCTCGAACAGGACTAGGGAGGATCGGAAGAAGACGGGGGAAGAGGTCAGTACGGCTGAAGGAGGTCCTCCCTCCCTCCCTCCCTCCCTCCCTCGTATCGCAACCACCCACAGAATCAGCTTAGCACTATCTGCTGCGCATTTGTTTATCACCAAAATGACGTTTTTGAGGATCTGCTGCAGGCAGGCAAGTGAAGACCGGTACGAAGCGTTGCGCTATGCGGCTGTCTGTCTTATTGCGGGATGGTTCATGCATGGCAACGTGTGAGGTAGGGCCGAACCGGGAACGGCCTCGTTATTACATGCCGTACTGTCGTACTTGGAATATATGCAAATCCGCCAGGCCTTCGGAAAGACAGTAGCGGCCCATCCACAGGAACACATAATGCTGCGGTACGGCGCCTCCGCCGCCGCCAGCACCGCCGCCGCCTCGTGCGCGCACCAAGCCCACACTCTCGCTGCCGGCGCCGCCGGCGCCGCCGCCGCCACCGCCGCCGCCGCCGCTGCTTCCACTGACGCCTCCGCCAGTGCCGCCGGCAATTGCCTCCCGAAGCGAGGCCTGCGTCGCGTGCGTCAGGAGCACCATGCCCCCCTGCCCCGCGTCCGAGATCGCCTTCGCCACGCGCAGCACCTCGCCTCTGTACTGCACTCTCCCGCTGGCAGCGTTTCGGTCCATGTCCTGGTACGAATGTACGCCGCTGTGCAACCCCATCCGTACACGAAGCCCGCGGAACACTACCCGGGTGACGCCGTCGCGGCGGCTGCCGCCGCCACCGCCGCCGCCGTTACAGCCGCTGCCGCCAGCGGGACCCGCGGCGGCGGCTACGGCGGCGGCAGCAGCATCCGGTGCTCGTGCCGACGGAGAAGTACGCGACCGCGAGCTCCGCTGCCGGTCCCCCAGGCCTGGGTCCTGAGCCTTGTTGGGATCCGCCGCCACCACCGTCCACTGCTGCTGAAGCAACTCACAAAGTGTCAGGAAGCCGCCGCCGCCGCCCCCGCCGCCAATGCCGTTGAGGTGTGCCGACGGCGGTGGCGGAGCCGTCACCGCCACCGTCGCCGCCTCCTCCCTTGTTCTGCTGTGCGGAGGAAACGGGTCTCGGGCTGCCGTACCAATCCCAGTGCCGACGGATCGAATGTAGCCGTTCCAAATGCTATCCGGCAGCTGCAGCATCGGCGGGCGGGACGCGCTGGCGCCCCTCCACGGCGACGACTGCAACGAAGGCGGACTGGAGGAGGCGGGACAGGGCTCTGAAAGCAGCGATTGCACCGCATGGTGTACGGCGCGCCGTGCTCGTCCCAGTAGTTCGTGTCCTTGTAAGCTGCTGCCGGACCATTCCTCTGTAGCCTTCTCCTCCTCCGCTTCCTCGGGAACAACACTGGGGCCCCTAGCTGCCGCCGCCGCCCC